TATTTTTACTATGGTGGTCCTGGTAGGAATTCAAATTGTCCATAAAGAAAATATCATCACAACATTTTCTTGATCTTGTAGAGTAGGTACATATCATGTATTTTTTCAATTGAATATATTGTGTTTTGTCATATTTTATTACAGAATGAATTGGCATATATAGCAGCCATGTAATTTTTTGGTAGCAAGTTGATAATATACAAAATAAAATGGTTTCTTTAATGACGCCTGACAGGTTAATTCGAGTTTGCCTAGGTTTTATCGCTTCAACCAATAAGATTAATTCTATATTAAATTGCACATTTTCCCTTTTAAATGAGTTAATTTTTAAATTTTATTTTTGAGCAATGAGACATAAGTTGTTTAGAAATAGAAGTTACGTTTGAACATAACTTGTGTGATATTATAGTCAAAAATATAATAATATATTTTTTGCTAAAATATTATTTATTACGAGGGACATAAGTTAGAAATCAAACACAAAATAGCAGTAAAACTGCAAATAACCCCCTATCTACTTGCACTTTTAAGAAGTTCACTTATATTATTGATAAAGTTTCTTTTTAACTTTGTAAACCCCCCTCCCCCTTTTCTTTTTCTTTTTTTATGATAAGATAATGAATTATTTGCACTTCAACCTATATTTTGTGTTGATTGTTAATTTTTCTTTAGAGGTAAATAACTTTTTTACTTGACATAAATTTATATTTTTCCATCATAAAATTTACTAATATGCCTTTCCGACTTTAACAAACTTATGTTTCGCTAGATATAAGATTGATTTCTAAGAAAAGTTACAAAGGCCAACCCATTTAAAGAACAAATCAAAATCAATTTAGATTTTCATATTAATATATATTTGATGGAGATGAAAATTGCTCAACTTTAGTAAACTTATAGGACCAAAACAGCTAAAGAGTGTATTTAAGGAGTTACTTTGCACATACGAACAAAAGACTAGGGACCTTTTATGTTATTTTCTCGTCAAAATCAACTTTTCGGGGCTCAATCATTGTCATCCACCATTTTTTCAAGAAAGAAAAAAAATCGGACTTCATCTCCCACCAAATTCAAAATCTCACAAAAAACTGTGTAAGATATCTCTGATACACCAAAAAAAAGGGGGGGTTTGAGAAGAGATGCAGAATGGAGCAGCAGCAGTAACTGTACGAGAAAAAATGGAGCAACTTAGGTTAAAATGTAACAGGGATTTACAAATTCAACAACAGAGTATAGATGCAGGCGCTATCTCTTTTTGGAAATCTTTGGATTCAACGAAGACCCAAGCTCGACAAACCCTTCAATTTCAAGGTAAAATTGAAATACTACATTTACGATTATGGAGTTTTACTAGCAGCGAAATCTGTATATGATGGAATTTAGTATGTCAAACTTTTCCATTCACAAACATTCTAAAAAGTATCAGTCTTTGAAGGGTATTTTCTATTTTGGGATTGAATTGAACTCTATTTAAAAAAAGAATCAATTTTTTTTCTCATGGGGGTCCATTTTTATGGAATCTTATAATTAAGTAATTTTTCTTTTGATGTTTTTTTTTTTGTCATGGTAGAAAAACTTGGGAAATTGAAAACTGAGCTTAGAGAGGCAGAAGATAATTTAGTAAAAGCACTTGCAGGTATATATCAATCTCTCACAATATATTATTTTACATGCTGTAGACTGTAGTATATTGTTTAGTCTTAATGTCCATTGCTGTTTTTCTGTTAATAACTTTATCAAGTCATCACATTTTCAGTCAAGACCCGAAAAGAGGCAAAGAGGATAAAAATAGCTGAACTAATAGCTACTACCAATGCTAGAGTGGAAGAGCTTAGAGGGGTCATGGAAGATAAAAGGGTCAGGAAACATGAATATTCCGCCCTAATATCTCAACAAGATGATGGTAAATTTCATCTTTGTAAAAGTTATGCTTCTCTCATTTGTTAACTTCTTCAAATAACGTTTTCCTTCTCTCATTCCGTTTATAAACATGAGTCATGTTTCGAGCCTTTTAATTAGAAAAATAGGAAGTGGCAGTGTTTCGGGAAGTTCAACAACAGCAAACCTAGTGCAGTCCCACTAGTGCTTTTGCACACGTAATTCTTATCAATTTTTGCTGTTCTCGTTAAGTGTTTCATATTGTATGGTTATTGAGCTGTGCTTTTCTTGTATGTTGGGGTGAAAGCTCTGGAAGCACTTGAAGAAAATCTTAACCAGAACAGTGGACATAGAGAGGCAATAGAGGAGGCTACTGGGTGGTACAATAAGGTGCTTGGTTTACGTATTGAATGTGGCCTTGGTATGTCGAATCTTCTCTGCTAGACACTTTTGAGCATACTACGGCAAATATTTTCTTGCCGAACATGCTTTATAATAAAGAACAGATTTCTATACAGATTGTGAACTCTAATACAGATACAATTCTTTGACCATTCACGGCCTACATTCTCTGCAGGAGTAAAATTCATCTTTACCAATATAAATGCGAATAATCCAGATGATGAGTACTCTTTTACTGTTCGTCGTGAGAATGATGCACATACTTGTAAGTTTGGTCTTGGTCAACTTTAATAAATTGAAGGTAGTTCTGAATGATAATTCTTTCCTTTGTTTGAATTGTTAGTGATTGATTGTGATCCACAGCTGAATGACGCAAAAGAACTGATTATTGAGTTAAATAAAAGCAATGGAATGTTCAAGTTTGTCAGGACTATGAGAAAGAAGTTTCTAGAAGCTGTAGCACGTGGTATGCTCTGTGTCTTTCCTGTTTCTGTTTATTTTTCTTTTGAAAATAAAATAAATCATGGCAATATATTGATAGTTGTACAAGACATTCAAAAGTAATTTGTATACTTTGCAGACTTACCAGTATGATTGGAGTGTTTTCACCTTTCATGCAAGTGCAGTTACTGTTTCTGATTTTGGATATGTTTGATAAGCTGCTCTTAAGGGGTTGTTATTTGGTTTCTACCAGGATTAACATCGCAAGATCAAGATACTTCAATGGTCTCTATGCCTACGGTGATGTCGTCCATCTCAATTATTAGTAGAGATGAATCTTCACCCCAGAAAGCGGAGCCTCAGTCTGATGAATATAAGAGAGCTTCCAGGAAGCTTGCCCTTGGTAAAAGGGATAGGTCAGCCATTCTCTCTCCTGTATCTGCATTATCTCTTCGCAGATCTCCTCGTTTTAAGGTATCTTTCTGTTAACCCCAAACATATTTTGACAATTCGCTCAAATTAATACTAGTGTTTATTTATCCCTGGACTTCCTTGGAAGATGTTGAATAGATAGAAAATAAGTAGTCCATTTATTGTTGATTCTATTTATAAACACCGTGATATGAAACCACCTAAGGCAAGAAACTAATCTGAAACAAGAGAACACCTATGTTCAGAAAATTGATTTTTAAAAAATAGCCTGTGCATAGCTATATGAATCCTTGCTGAACATGTTACACTTAAACCTATCTTTGTCCATCATTATACAGAAATAAACAAGATTCAATAATTTGATAACATTTTCTGAATGTTTGTTCAAGAAAACATTTTCTGAATGATTACAGTGATAACTAACAACATACCCAGGTGTAATCCCACAAGTTGGGTCTAAGGAGGGTAGTGCGTACGCATATCTTACCCCTACCTTGGTAGATAGAGAAGTGATTTCCAAGAGACCCTAGGCTCAAGTAAAAGCAGTTCGAAAAAAAGAGATCAACGAGAGAGGAGAAGCCAAGACAATGCTAGAGAAAGCATGATAAATCATGCTAAAAGAAGGAACAACCACTACTACAAAGTAATATGATAGTCGAAGTGCAAGAAACACTAAATAGCAACACAAATGGATTACAGCTATAACAAACATTCTCACTAATTTCACTGCATTAGATGAATGATGATTACAGAAGTGAATTAACCCCAAATAATTGATTTTGTATGCCTTTTTGGGATTTTTTTTACCAGAATACACTGCTGCTTAATGAATCATCTCATAGCATCAATAAAGTCAACTAGATTGGATTTGAATACGCATGTCATATGACATGAGACCCTAATGAACAAAATTTTCTTCTTTGTCAGGTCAATAAATGATAATTATCAGCACTTCTTTTTCATCTGGATTTGTTGAAGAACCTTCTTGAAGTTGATCAGTCAGCATATATTCTCAATTGGCGAGCACTGACTAGCAAATACTCCCTCTTCAGTTTATGTATATTATTTTCCTTTATAGTTTGTCTGAAAAATGCGACCTTAATATATTTAGTAAATTTTTAATTCTAACATCATCATGTAGGAAAATCCCTTGTAGGAATGACATGACATGTTTAAGACTTGAGATTCAGTAGATATTTTTAGTATGTTATATACACCTTTAGTTCACGACCAATTTAGAAGTCCTTTTTATATTCTTATACTTGATTTTTGCTAAAAGTATATCGTTACAGCTTTTGAATTATCAATTCCATCCTCCTTACTGTTATATTGGTCGTGGTCTTTGAAAGAACTTAATGGTTTTTACTTCTTTTCACTTAAATCTTGTTGTATCTGTTATAGAACAGAGAGCTGACTGCTGCAGTTATTTTTTCTGTTCTGCCTCTAGTCTTTGTACTTGATTTGTGTCGTATTGGTAGAACACTTCAATAGAAAGATAGTACAAGAGCGGACACTCACATTGATCGGTTGCTTAGAATGCAGCAGTGGATGTTAGAATCATAACCAAACTTTTCTTTCTGTATTGTGCTTTTCATGCAGTGATACATGATAAAAGTTTATTATAATATTGATTCTTTTGGGGTTACAGCTACTTGCAATATTGATTTGAAGACAAAATCAATAGTGTCATGTAGATGTCTGGTAAAGTTGATGAACTTGATGGCATCCATTTTACTGGTATTTGTATAATCCAAAAGGTATTTAGTACATGGAAGCAGAGGTGGTAAAGGGCCACTAATGGTGTTTTTTTGAACCTAGCAAATTACTCAATTGAATTTTCTAAGTGCTAAGAGAAAAGGGAAAGCATGTTATAGTCCATAATAATTTGTCTGGGGCCATCGAAAAAGAAGGGAATTTTCTGCATTTACTAGTAAGTACTGCAACCGTTTCATTTTACGTGACATTGTTTCCAATCACATTTTTATATTCAAAACTTCTCATTGATTCAAATTATGTTGGAACAGAGTGCATATTTACAGGTCTCTTTCTCTCTCTTGAAAAAATCTTCGATGAATTAGAGCACGAGTGTGCTTCCATAGTTTATGAGCTTCAATTTCATCATTAGCTAAAGCTGAGCAGTGACATTCATTGCAATCGGCAAAGTATTTCCCATTTATTCCCCTTGTTTGTGGATTCAGTGCAACATAACATGTACTTGCTGCACCCTGTGATGTTGACTTTAGAAGCTTTGATGCCATAAAATAGAGAGAATCTGTGTAAATTTTATGAGGAAAAGTTAGTTTCTTTTCGTTGTCTTTACTTCTTTCAGCCGCAAAATTTAAGTGAAAAGCCAAGAAAAAGCTAAAAGAGACAAAAGAAAAATGCATGCCTGTGATAAAGCCCTTATGATCCCTTGTTATTCCTGTCTTCACAATGCCTGGATGTACAGCATTGATAGCTACATGTGCATTTCTTGCCTGTTATACAGATTCCAACAGATAAATTTTCAGTATCCAAACAGATCTATTGGGCAAAACAACTGGAGAATTGACACCAATGGTAAGCCGAGGTAGTGAGCAAGAGGCTGTTTCTGGAAGACCTTTGACTCGAGTACAATAATCAGAGCGAGTATGAAAAGAAAAAATGACTGAGCAGAAAATTTAGCAACTAATACGGAAATAGTAACAACAACAAAATAAAGAAAGACACTACTAGAATAAAAAGTTACTACTACTACTACAGACACCACCAACCCTAAACCCTTTACGAAGCAAGAGAACATTTCCACTACCTATTAACTTTCTACCCTAATCCACGACCTCCGGGAAAAAAAAATAGGCATAGATTTTTCACCTTTAGCTGTCTTGACAATTCCTTGGCATGTAAAATGTTGGCCAATTTCGACTGAGCGTATGCTCGAGTACCATTATATCTGTAAGCAAGCAATTCAAAAGAAATTAGATTAGTACTACTTATTTTCATTTTTTGATATTAGTGTATTATTAACGAGTTAAGGATTGTTATGTACTTACTTTTTAGGATTAAGCATTTGGCTGAAGCAAAACTTATCTCTTTTTACCCAGTTGTGAACTACAGAACTAACATTTACAATCCTTCCTTCAATCCCTGTCTGTTCTGCTGTCTCTACCATCTTATCTAGCAGCATCTCTGTCAATAAAAAATGACCTGTCCAACAACATACTCATAAGGTCTCGTGTTCAAATTCTAGTGAGGCAAAAAATTCGGAGATTTCTTCCCATCTGTGCAAGCTTTAGTTACTAGTGCTGATGGGAGGTAGCATGTATACGTGATTTATGGATTCGTTGAGGTACATGCAAGTTAATCAGGACGTCATGATTGTCAAAACAAATATTGTTATTATAGAACAGGATTTAGTTACCTAAGTAGTTTGTTGCAAATGAGAGCTCAAATTTGTCTTCAGAGAACTCTAACTTCTGTGAGAATTTGCCTGCATTATTTCTGTATAACAAAAATTTAAGTCATTAGTGGCAGAGTCAGGATTTTCACGGAGATTGATTCAAAATATAGAGAAAAAGGAAAAGTACAAACTAGAAACATACATAAGAATGTGAAGAGGCAGTCCTAAAGACAAGAATTGGGCACAAAATCTTTGAATAGAAGCAAATGAACTCAAATCTATCTCTAATAAAATAATGTCAGCCCAAGGACTCTGTTTTTTTATGGCTTCCTTTAGTATGGCTGCCTTCTTCAAATCCCTTGCTGGAATAACTAATCTTACACCCCTCTTTGCCAATATCCTTGCTGTTTCTGCTCCAATCCCAGATGTTGCACCTGTAAAATTTTCAATCATCGGAATCCGAAAAAATTATAACGAATTTAAGTTTTATACATCAGTATTAAAAAAATATTTATACAATTAGGTCACTTATAAGGTGATTAATTACATGTAGTTTATCTTATAACCATGCTATCTGGACCAGTTTGTGTGCAGCTCGACTAATTCGACAAGGTACCAGTGTGTATATAACGTAAATCGAATTAAAAAAAAGAAGGAAGGAAATGTAAATCATGCTTTGTCTTAACTTTACATGACAAATTGAAGATAGAGCACTAATATAATGTATGGTGAATAAAATTGTAATCTATGAAAGTGTGGACTGTGATTTAAATAAATAGATATTGAACTTTTTGTTATTAAAGATAGCATGATTTGTTCTCATTATTGTCCAGATATAAACTATATATTTCTAAATATTAATCTATAAGAGAATAGTACTCAGTTAAGACAAAACCAAATCTTCCTTAATTTTTTTTTTTTAAAAAGAACCACTAAAGACCCTGTTTTCATCTTTTCTTGGAGGCAGAGTTATCTTAAAGACATTACCAGCACGGGTGGAGCCAGGAATTTCATGAAGGGTATCCAGAAATTACACAGAAAATTTATTGCTAGTGAGATATGAACACGTGAGCGCTGACTTATACAAGGTGTCTGAAACCCATTCAAGGGATCTGAAACCACTAGGCTACAATAACATATTATGTTAAGAGTGCCTAAATTATGTTATTTAATCACTGTGTATCATTTTACTTATATATACAGTATTTTCTTCTGATGAAGGGTGTCCAGCATGTGCCTCTATTCCCAGATACTCCACTTGTGGAAATTATACTGAATATGTTTTTGTATATTTTAATGAAATTACATGTATATCATATAGTAGACTGGCAATTTGGCATACATAAAATGACCTATAATATGAATGGTTCTCTTAAAATGTGTTACAGAGTAGTAACTGTTTCAGGAGACAACATGATGAGTGAATACATGAATCGTACCATACATCTGAAAAACACACGAAGAAGCTGAGGGGATTCAACGAGTGTATATGAACAAAAGACTTCCTCTTCCATCTTATGGAACAGAAATTCTTCTGCATAGATAGAATGAAACGAAACGAACATATGATGCAACAATCTACAACCATACAACGAACACATAGGAATTTCGAAACTAACCAGTGATAATAGCAGTAAGCTGAGAAGAGAAAGAAACAGAACAAACTTGAGTGACTTGTTCTGCAGTTGTTTTAGAACCATAACCACTTGAACCAGCAATGCCTGCTAAATACTTGAGAGTAGCCTTCATAAGGTCACAGCTTAGAAATTTGAACTGCAATATTGCACTTATTGTTGAAAAACATGTATATATAAATGCCTTGTAATTAACCTTGTGAAAATCCATGCAACAAAATATATTATAGTATATACAGAACAGGATCCCTATAATATTGTCAGAATATTTCAACTTAAGGGATAAAAAAAGTTATGGTGTTTTTATTTGACTATTAGATGATTATTATGTCATATAGTATGGCACACGCACACAATTATGTGATTTTTTAAAACTTTTCTTGCTTTGAATAATTGTTGTCTGCCCTTATTAGTCTTACCTCACTTTTTTACTTTTTTTTCAACCATGTTGGGCAAAGGTTAAACTTTTTTTTTTTTTTTGTTTTTTAGGGTACAAACATTAACTGTTGTGTTTCCACCAAATGTAGTATTCTTTTTCTTTTGTTAAAAGGGTATTTTTTTTAAGTGTAATATACCATCAAGATTACTCAACTCTCCTTAAATTATGAGATTGTGTTGAAGTAACTAAGATAAATTACATGTTCTAATATATAGTATTATGATATAATTTGTTAAATGACTTTTGACATAGGGTATGTAAACAAGGACAAATCACATGGTTTTATACTGGTCAGTTTTGAGCTGTCGATTGACGATTGCTTCATCTCTTAGAAAAGAATGCGGGGGGCCTATTTTTAATAAAGCGGATACTCTCTTCTCTTATGTGCGCTATATTATTGTGTCTTATTCATTAAGAAATGATTCGAGAATAAGCCAACCATCAAGCTCAAAAGCTAAAATTATTGAGTTTGATCGAATTGATACATTGTTTCTAGCTCTGCCCATGACTATTAAATAACCTTATGAGCTAGCTTTTGAATTGAAATTATGCCAAGGTCCATTGTGAAGAGAAGAGTAGTATTAAATTTTATTTAAGATAATAAAATTATATTTTTAATTAATATTTTCTCTAAGGGCGTACAAAATACAAATATGACAAATAAAATTGATTGGACTTAAGATTCCTTTGACATTTTTTGCTTTGTCGAACCTTCGGTGGTCACAGCATGGGAAAAAAGTTGACATGTTTGTCAAAGGGAACAAATTTCAAGAAAATGTCACACAATTTTGTGAACTTCATGTATACTATTCATTGATTAATACAAATCCAATTAATTTGTGAAAGTGTCTGTCTATAGAAATCTTTTTCATTAGTTTTTTGGAATTATCTTGTGAATTAAGAATAAAGTAAATATGATTAATTTCCCTAATGACATTCTTATTTAACTCCACAAATATTTGTCATCAAGTAGATTCAAAAATGCATCTCACACGTGAACATCTAGATAAATTTGATGAACCAGGAAATATTATGAATAATAATTACATTTTGTGTGTCTGGATAAGTAAGAAAAAAAATCCAAATTATGATGATGAGAAATAGTACAAGACAAAAAAACATGGATTTTCTTTTTTTTTTTAAAAAAAAAAAAAACTTCTGGGACAAAAGTGCAAAGCGTGCCATTGACATATCTCTTTTGGTCTTTAAGAGGCCCATTTATTTTCTATTTGGAAAATAGATTTTTTACTTATTTTCATCTTTCGTTGGCATCCTATTGTATAATATTATACTGTATTGTTTTAATGAATATAATATTTAAATAGATTGTATCGTTCTCTATTGTTATATATATATATATATAAATAGGATACAAAATAAGATTATTATAAAAAAATTGCACGATAAAAGATAAAATAAAATGATGAAAAATGCTAGAGAATTGAGTGTCTATAAGAGAACATTGAGGTTGACTCCTTCAAAATGGAGTTGTGAACTGGCTATGCACTTTGGTCCCATGAGGACCCTAATTTGTAAACAACTCTCATTAACTTGCTTCAAGTTTTGGAGACATTGATCTTTGTAATTTTCACATGTGATCTTCCCCCATCTTCTTTTTCGTTTTTACCGTTTTTATTTTTTACCACGTACTATTTGAAATGCACTTCATAAAAAAAATTTAATTCTCTTAACTCGAACTCAAAATCTCGGATTAAGAACACTATAGAAATCTCATCCGTCCATCACATTCCTTAACCATTTAAGGGTAAATTTCACACGAGTAACTCAACTTATGTTTTGTTGCACGAAAGTCACTAAGCGAATATCACATGATATTACTTGACTGTTTTGTAATAAAAAGTCATCCAATTTTACCTACGTTTCACATAAAGGCACGTAAATCATTAATCAAATCATCTATATATATTCCATAACCAAAAAGTACTCGAATAATTTGTGACTTCTATAATATTTACATAAAATTGAGTAACTTTTATGTAATAAAGTGAAAGTTTTAAATAAATGCTCATAGATTTTACTTGATCCCTAGGTAGTCTTGTTCTCTTCCACTTATTGGTATGTTCATAAAGATGGAAAATAAAGGGTTATGGTACGATTACTTACCAAAGTGTTCTATACATCCTTATCATAAAAGCTAATTAAGTAATTATAATTTGGAGCTATACTAATCTTAATTTTCTGTATTCAAGTAAACATATCAAAGCAAACAACTCTTGTAAAAGGATTTTAAGGTAATAATGAAAGTAATGAACAAAGTAAATAATGAGCAAAAATAAGGAAATTATTCACAAAATTCTTGAGTAAGCTATAGACTTAATAATTTCTTTAATTGGTGGAGGAAAAGACAAGTCATGTAATATCAAATGTAAAGTTAGTGGAAATTATTCACACTAAATTTCAAAGTTTAATCATTTCTTTTTACAATCTTCTTTAGACACTTTTAATACCAATCGATATTATATGCTGTATACCTTTTGTCATTTTTTTTTTCTTTTGGTGATTTGACAATGAAACACACTCGACAATGCTTTAAAGATTATTAAGCTTAGTAGAGTAGTAAGTAATCACCACTAATCCTATTTTGAGTAAGAAAAATAAATTCATCCGCAAATGTTAATAATGAAGGGTAATTACAAATTTCGAAAAGAAAAAAAAGAATTTTAAAGTCACTAATAATTAGGTCCTTCACTCATTAATCCGACCGACAAAGTGCATCAAGTTGATGATAGTCGTGGTCTAATGACCAATCTTCCCACCCGTAGCCCCTAGCCCGTGCCCGTGCCCGCTCTAAATGGAATGAATTTCTTAGTTACGCTACACTCCAACCCGAGTCCCCATAGCGTTTTTCTTGTATTGGTTGCTCCATATAAACAGTCAGAGTCAATAAACCATTAAGAAAGGTATTGTTAATGTCAGACCAATGAATATGCCATTCATAAGATGAGGTAACAAGGGAAAACACCAGTCTAACAGTTGTAGGAATGAACCAATTGATTGAATGTCTCACCAGAGTCCACACCATAAGAGTTTGTATAACCTTGGCCACCAAACGAGCCTTACATCGATCAAGAGAGTCATCAATTTTCTACTTAACCTGACAACAGTGTTATCAAAAGCGAAAAGCGCAAAATAGCTCTAAGGTCCAATGAGATTTTAAGTACAAAGCGCAAATAAAGCTCAAATTTATTTCAAATGGTGCATCTAGCAAGTCTTACTATCAATGGATCAGCTTTGTTCTCGTTCTTTTAGTTACTCCGACAGTTTTGCATTTGCTGCTCTATGTTTTATGGTCTTAAAAAGGAGTCCTAAGTGATTTAAGGGTCTCAACTGAATACAATCACATGAAAACAGATTGACTGCTGAGGCAACTGGATAATGTTCTGCAAGAGGTATCTTTTGTACATTTCTATGTTCATTCTAACCTGACCAAGTAGCTAAATATTGCCAAGATTTTATTCTAGTCCTTTTCCTTTTGCCTTTTGAAACTTACCAAAAAGGAAATATTGTAGCTTTGTTATGTAAGCTAGCAGATTAGAAGCTCATAATAGTTGATGAAGGGAAGTAAAAACTAAAGAAGGAAATAAATCTGCTAGAATTATAGTCTCCAGAAGGTAGTTGTTTTTTTTTGAACTAAAAACAAGATTAGCAGTATTCTATATACAGTCTTTTACTTTAGATTGAAAATAGACTTAATGCTCTAAATTAAGATCTATGAGTGCATTTCTCAGGTCTAAATGAAGAAATGTGAATATGATCTTATTTGTGCAAGTTCAGGTGTGAAGCATGAAAAGATAGATAGGAATAACAGAAACAGACCTCAGGCTTGCGAACCTTGAAAAACGGATGGTGGTTATCAGGTGCAACATTCCTCTGTGATATTCAGCCAATAGACAAAAAACCATCTCTCAGTTAGGCCATTCACGGAATTACCTGACAGAATGCTACATGGATCCTTGTCGTGGATCTCTTCACTTTAGCAATGAAAACACATCGGCTCTCTCCTTTCTGGCTGCCAAGTAGTCAAAACATAATAGGAAAATACCCAACTTCCAAAACCCAGGACATAGCCATTTGCCTCATGTATTGCCAACTTTATCTCCTACAGACTGGTGAACCACAAGTGATGCAGGAATCAGGTTGACTGAATAGTACAAAATGTTATAGCAGAAACAGGTACTAGATAAACCAATGAACAGTTGAAATATGCATGAAAAGGTTGGACTGTTGGTGTTGTAAAATATCAAGTGCATTATCTTGATCATAATAAGTTTACCTCAATATGTGGTAGAAAATGGTGCTACTGATATATGCACAAGCTGTTATTCAAATATTCTTTTCAATAATCAAAATTCAGGGCATATTATACAAATTCTCCTATTTTATATAGCAGATATTGATGAGTTAGCGGTCAACTATGGTGGAAAGATCATATATGCTGTTAACTGTTCGAAGCTTATCTATGTTGATTCCTTATCTCTACAGAAATATGTAAAAGTGGAAGAAGAAAAACGAAGGTAATATCTATGCTGAATGTGAATCCGTACAACTGCCTCTAGGCATAATGCAAACAGGTGAATCCTAGTGTAAGAAAGTATATTAAAATGACTAGCTTCTATTCATTAAAACAAATATAATGCCTTCAAATGGGTAGAAGAAAAGGCAGAAAAATATAGGATATGAGGTAAGTAACCATCAGCATTTCAGATCACATTCTTAAAGCTAAAAATGAACTGCATAATATTGAAGAAATTAGTTAGTGAAACAATTTAAAGTAAGATAAAACAGCACCAAGTCTCAGTAGATTGTCTATAAGTAGTAATTACCAAAAAGTAAAAGCTACGTCACTCTCTTCAACTGTCGTCTTCAGGCATTACGTCGTTTATGTCAACTGCAAAAGTGTGTTCCTCATCACAACCTAGATAAGAATCACACATGAAATAGAGTTTGTACTTCCTCGTTCCAGCTTCAGCAGGGGCGGTGAAATCAAGCTTGATCCTTGACTCCTTCTGAAGATTAACCCTCTTAATAGCCACTAGTTGGTTGCTTTTAATATCACCAACAACAAGCCACCATACTTCTTCCTTGTCTTTAGGGTATCTAGGCGCAAGCACAGGTCCAGTCTCAGATCTTCGCTCAAGACTTACCTGTAAATTCACATTGTCTCCTGCTCTCCCATTATCACCGTTCAGCACATCGTATATCAAATCAATGT